AGATCGGAGCTCTAAAGCTATTGTTCCAACTTCATTTACAATGCATTAATTAAAAGTTACAGATTAACCATATATTCACCAATGTTTCTGATTTCACTCCGAACTCGTGTAGAATTTGATGCGATCATATCTTTTTCTATTTCGTGCCGTTGAAAGCGTTTAATATCTCGTTGGAAAGATCTTACCGAGTTCTAAAACTTGTCTTCAGGCCCTGGTTTCAAAATATCAAGGGATGATTGCCTAATTACTAAAATACACTGTTTTTACGGTAAAAGTGCTCTATTTTCGCTAAAAACGCTAAATCTTAGAGATAAGGCTAACTATTTTTGACACTCATATCTTGTTGTGTGTTTATCCATTTAGAGCGTATTATATGTCGTTGGAAAGATCCGGTTCCGGTTTTTCCGGTCCTGTTTTCCGGTTACGGTGAATCTATCGAGACTTGTCTGTGAGTGCGGTTGTTGGAGGATGAACGGCATGCCATGCGTCCATGCGCATGCTGTCTGCCATTTTCTTAAGTGCCCTGTTGATCATCTTATTCCAGAGGTATACAAACTAAGTTCTTACATAAATGCACATTCCAGTGATATCATGCCATTGCCGAATCTGAATGAGTGGCCACAAAATGAGTTCATTCTTCTGCCGCCTAAATACTCTTCCAGAACTTCTCGAGTAGGACGCCGTCAAGAAACAAGATTTCCAAATGAGATGGATATGCGTCCAAGATGTAGAGCACAACATGATTGATTCACATTTGTACTCTCTTATGGTGTATTATTTCTTTTCTGTGTAGTTTGTTTTAATGTTGTAACACTTTTATTAGCCATATGTTTCAAATGTAGTTTTAATATGTTATGAACTTTGTTTAATTTTGAGTTCATATGACTTAATGGGTCACTTATTATTAAACACGTGATACTGTAAACTGTATTTGTAATTACTTTCAAGTTAATAATGCTGAATGGGTCAACTGTTTTTAAACCTCGTCACATTGATTAAGTATATTGATACTTTTAATCGATGTACTTTGTTATTTTTTGGGTTCACATTTTTTAATGGTTAGGTTTTTATTATTCGGATTCAGTATTTGTGTTCAAAATATTTATTGGGTCAATTTTGTAAAACGTGTGCTTATTTAATTGAATGGGTCAACTTTTTGTAAAACGCGTATTCATGAATAATATTGTACAATTTTTACTTAAGTTGAATCACTTATGATTTATAACAAATACAAAAAAATCTTTTAAAAAAAAAATTAACAAAATTTTTTACTGAAGTGAAAAATTCAGCAACAAAATTGAGGCCAAACAAATTAAAGTTGGTCATCTCCGAATGGGTCATCTTGGAATTCGTTTTCGGACCTGCCAACTCCGAATTCGGAGGAGTTGGTCTGACATCTCTGTTTTCGGACCTGCCAACTCCGTTTTGCGCTATCCCAGAAAACTTCAAAAAAAATACATCTTTAGGAATCGGATGTTAGAAATGTGCACTTATCCGTCAAACACCCCTTCAAATTCGGAGTTCAATACTCCGTTTTACTCTTTTTCGTCAAAAATAATACATCAATGCGATTCGGAAACACTTGACCAAATTCTACTCTGTTCCGTCATTTACTCAACATGCATGTCGATCATTCCAATTCATTAAGAATATACACCTTCAATAACAATCACCAAATTCCTATTTTTTCATATCTCAAATTTATTCTGAGGGGTAGTATAACTTGTCATTTAAAATGATTTTTTACTTGTTCATACGAAATTAGAGGAATCAAAATCCAAGTGATGCCCTCCTCTAATCCAAGTTTGTTTGGATCTTCCCCTTCCTCTCTTCTCTTCTTTGTCTCTTTTCTCCACCCCTCAAGTTGTCTAACAGATATAAAACTCGATCTTCTATGCATATGTCCAAACCACCGCAAACGACACTTGTGCATCTTATCTTCTATATAGGTGCTACTCTCACGGTCTCACCTTTTGTCAGATTATCTCATTCCTCAAATTAGGGGTGGACTCGGGTCCGGGCCGGGTCCGGGTCAGGCCTAGGTCCGAGCGGGCCGGCGGTTCAAGAATGGTGGACCCGAGACCGGCCCGGGTAGCCACCGAGTCCGGTCCGGGTCCGGGCCGGGCCAGACCTCCAGTTTGGATTTTTTTTTGCTTTCCTAACCCCCCCCCCCCTCACCCCCACCCTCCCAAACCCCCCCAAACCCATCCTACCCATCAAGCCCAACCCGGGTGGAACCCCAAAAATGAAAAAATTTGAGACCAGAGCCCGAACCCGCCCTACCCCCCGGGCCTAGGCCCGACCCGGACCCGAGAACCAGGTCGGTCCCGGTCCCGCACAGTAGCGGGCCAGGCCGGTCGACGGGCCGGGTGGCCCGACCCGAGTCCAACCATACCTCAAATGATCTTTTCTAGTATGTCCACATCCAACGCAATATACGCATCTCTGCCACACTCATCTTTTGAATGTAACATTGTTTCATTGTCCAACACTCTACGTAGGGGTGGATTCGGGCCGGGTCGGGCCCGGGCCGGGCCTAGGCCCGGTCGGGCCGCCGGTTCTAGAATAGTGGGCCCGGGACCGGCCCGAGGGTTGGACGGGTCCGGTTCGGGCCGGGCCACCCGCCCGGGTCACGGGTCGGGCCACCCGCCGGGCCGGGCCGGGTCGGGCCGAGTAATTTTTTTTTTAAAATTTATATTTTATACTTTATAGTTTTATACAAGTATTAAAAAACAAACTTCAAGTGCATTTATTTGAAATGAAATAGGAACTACATTTGAAAATTAAATAGGAACTATAATTGTTTTTAATCGGAATCTCCGGCATAAGTAGAGCCACCCTCTGTAGATTCATCCATAAAGTGTTGTGATGGAGTGATGTCAATTTCTTGAGCTCTACGTGCTGCTTTCAACCAATCGTGGTAGCATATAAGCATCTCAAGAGATTCAGCGCTCAACCTCGTTCTGGTTTGTGTTAGAACATTGCCGGCCGAACTAAATTCTTGTTCCACGGCAACCGTTGAAACCGGCATTGATAGCACTTGCTTAGCCATCTTTGCTAAAACCGGGAACATTCTTTCTTTTCCCTTCCACCAGTTTAGTACGTCAAAATCATCATCTTCTTCAAAATCAACATCATAAGTTAAATACAAAGAAATCTCATTAATTGTGCTTTGTTGTGTAGCGGGAGTTGATTTTGTTTTTTTAATAAGATTGACTTTGAGATGAAGAGCCGAGATGTGATTTACCTTTGCGGGATCTCTTCCTCGCAAGCTCGTTCGTTCAGTTGCGCTCGAGGTTACCCATATCAACCGAATATCTAGGACGATCCATCTAAAAAATGTAGCAATTAATAAAAAATTGTAAAAAACTAATTAACTATTTATCTAACTATTAATTCGAGTTATAGCAAATTAAGTAGTGAATTAACTAGTTTTGTGTACAACATATTTTTTAAACTAGTGTCAAATGTAGCAATTAATAAAAAATTGTAAAAAACTAATTAACTATTTATCTAACTATTAATTCGAGTTATAGCAAATTAAGTAGTGAATTAACTAGTTTTGTGTACAACATATTTTTTAAACTAGAGTCAAATGTAGCAATTAATAAAAAATTGTAAAAAACTAATTAACTATTTATCTAACTATTAATTCGAGTTATAGCAAATTAAGTAGTGAATTAACTAGTTTTGTGTACAACATATTTTTTAAACTAGAGTCAAATGTAGCAATTAATAAAAAATTGTAAAAAACTAATTAACTATTTATCTAACTATTAATTCGAGTTATAGCAAATTAAGTAGTGAATTAACTAGTTTTGTGTACAACATATTTTTTAAACTAGAGTCAAATGTAGCAATTAATAAAAAATTGTAAAAAACTAATTAACTATTTATCTAACTATTAATTCGAGTTATAGCAAATTAAGTAGTGAATTAACTAGTTTTGTGTACAACATATTTTTTAAACTAGAGTCAAATGTAGCAATTAATAAAAAATTGTAAAAAACTAATTAACTATTTATCTAACTATTAATTCGAGTTATAGCAAATTAAGTAGTGAATTAACTAGTTTTGTGTACAACATATTTTTTAAACTAGAGTCAAATGTAGCAATTAATAAAAAATTGTAATTCCAACTATATTAATAAAAAATCGTAATTCCAACTATACTAATTAACTAGTAATTAAACAAATATAAATAATAGAATAATTTCGTACCTCTTTCGGACTTTCGGTCTTTCGGATGGGAGTAATAGAATGACTTCAAATTAATTAGATATAATTCCAACTATATTAATAGATATAATAAATATATAAGTAATATATAATTAGATAACAAATATAAGTAATATAATACTATTTATATCTATTTATAGTTTATATAAGTAGATAATTAATATAAACTATAAATAATAAATATAATATATTGGAGAATGGAGAATAAGAGAATTAGAGAGTAGAGAGTTAAGAATAGGATTTAAGAAGAATTGGAGAAGAGATATGAAAAAATGTTTAAGATTAGGAGTATTTATAGGTTTTTTTACCCCCCACCCCACCACCACCCCCCACCACCCCCCCCCCACGGACCCCCCCTATAACCCACCCAACGGCTATATAGCCGTTTGGGTTGTCCCCAGCCCCACCCCCAACGGCTAGTAGGAGCCCAACCCAAAAAAAAAAAAATTTTTAAATTTGATCGAACCGGACCCGGGCCCGGGCCCGACCCGGCCGGGTCGGGTCACAAAATTGCTGAACCGAGCCCGCCCCGGTTCGGGCCTAGACCCGGTCCCGGACCGCCCGACCGGGCCGGTCCCGGACCGCACAGTACCGGGCCGGGTCACAGGCCGGGTGGCCCGAACCGAATCCAACCCTAACTCTACGCCATACATTAATGCACACCTAATTGTTGTTCGATAAAATTTACCTTTCAGTCTAGTTGACGTACCTCGATCGCATAGAAATTTATCCAGTCTAGTCTAGCAACCATAATATATAACCTATAAAAATAGGAACTAATTGCCATTATTATGCACGGAACAAGCATTAAATACTACCAAAGAACAACATAAAGTGTACCCCGAAATATAAACTTCACAAGTTTCTAGCACCCAAATTATGTGTTCCAGTGTGATGTACATACAAGAACACAGTATATAAAAACAGTTTTGCAACCAAGGTTGAACTAGTTTATCTGTGTCCTTGAGCTTGTGGCATATTATAAGCACCCCAGGCAGTTGGTCCAGGTCCATATTGAGAATAACCTTCAGCTCCAGCTCCAGCTTGCGGCTGAAAATAAAGGAAGATTTTAAAATTACGAGGATATATTTTGATTTTTTCGAAAGATTCATGAACCAACGTTTCAAAAGGAGTTTATTTCATATGCATTCAGTCAGAAAATGTCATTGACAAATCTTAAAAGAAAAGAACTGTAGCAGTCAGAGAGAGGATCACATGGTTTTAAGCAAGATTGTTAAACTCGAGATCTTAGCTCGGATCGGAGAGGATCTAGGAGATCGTAACTCGAGATCGTAAGATCCTAGAGACAAAAATATCATATATATGTATTATATATATATATATATAGACAAATGTTCAGGTCCGGAATTCCGGACCAGAACCGCCGTCCGCCCGACGGAGTTTGGGGCCCTTCCCGGTGGCTTTTTTCGATGAAATTTTTATGGCATGTTCTTCATCAAGTCTAGTTTATCCACAAAAAAAATCAGCTAAAAACTCAATCCGGAAGGTCATCAAATGATTTTTGGAAGTTAACTGCATTTTATATGTATTTTTTTGCGCAGTTAACTTCAAAAAATCATTTGACGACCTTCCAGATTGAGTTTTTAACTGAATTTTTGTGTGGATAAACCAGACTTGATGAAGAACATGCCATAAAAATTTCATCAAAAAAATCCACCGGGAAGAGCCCCAAAAGCCGTCGGCCGGATGGCGGTTCCGGTCAGGAAAGCTTGACCGGAACACTACTATATATATATATATATATATATATATATATATATATATATATATATATATATATATATCATACTTGTCACGGCGGTAAGTCGAGTCGCGGCGCCAGCCGACCGCCATATTGCCTAGGCGATAAGGCGCCCGCCTAGGCGACAATTAGGCGGATAGTCGCCTATATATGTATAATATAAAATATATTATATATATAATTATATATATGATTATATATTATGTATAATATATAATACATTAATGGTTTAATAGTTTACTATAAAACTAATACGAGCATATCAGTATATATCACCATTCACCAGTTCTGCACTTTATTATATAGCATATAATAAATAATAAATGAATGGTTTTATAGTTTATTATTAAACTAATAGTCTAATACGAGCACATCAAGATATCACCAGTATAATAAATTAATGGTTTAATAGTCTATATCACCATGTTCACCGTTTTATATATAACGCAGTATAGAAGTTTTGTAGTATATATATACGCATATATTGATACCACTTAATTAATTAAAATATTAAAAAACTAAATCCACTACATCGCTACACAAGAAGCCAATAAGAGATCGGTGGACCTATTTCTGGTCGTCTGCTTCAAGCCTTCAACGACGGACCGGGGATGGCGACTGGAGAGACCGGCGACTTCTTCTGCTTCCTCAAGTTCTACGGTTCGTCTGGTCCTGTGAGTTGTTCTCTACGACTCTGCTTCTTAAGTTAGATTTGGGCTTTGTTTCTAATTAAAAACTTAAATCCTTAATTAAATGAGTTTACTAAAAAACTAAACCTTAATTTACTCATTTTTGGGCCTGCAGAACGCGGACGGCTTTTCGACTGGGCAAAAGTAGGCGGCGACTTGTCGCCAACTTCACGCCTGGACGACGCCAACCTCGACTATTCTTCTTCCGGCGAGGCGAGCTTACCTGGCGAGCACTCTCCAGCGCCTGGACGCCTAGTCGGCGCCTAGGCGACGCCATGACAAGCATGATATATATATATAGGGAGTGGATCAGGTGAGAAGTGCCCTTAGGTTGAGAACTGTGAAGTTTAACTTATAGACCAAAAACACAAACTTTTAACTAATAAATCATAACTTATAGACCCCCTCGAAAATAATTACGAAAATGACACCGCAAAAAATAACTCCAGAAACCTTCATTTTTTTTGACGCGGTGGCATTTCCGTAATTATGATGCAGAGATTTATAAGTTATGATTTATTGGTTATAAGTTCCTATATTCAGTCTATAAGTTTACTGCGTTGTAAGATTAGATGCAAATCCAAGAGCTGAGATTACTTCTCACTTCTCATTTTAAGGGGGACTTATTTCTGTGTATATATATAAACTTAAAAGTTTTCAAATATTAATCATAATGTCATTTTCAATGGTATAAAATAATCCGCAAAACACAAAATACAAATATGGAAAGAGTATTGAAAAAATCAGCTTGTGAATAAAAATCTGAAGTCTTAGAATATGTAACGGAGAAAGGACAAAAACGTGTTCTGAGAAGAACAAAACAAGTGTTGCAGAATACGAATGAAGAAGGCGACACTGCGACACTGCGACACTGAAGAAGGTGTCGCCTTGGGGAGTTGGATCTTCGCAGGTCATTATTTTTTTAAAACTTGAGTCGCTTCTCTCAGTCTGCGTCGTTTCCGATTTCCGACCTTCGGGTGGTTTCGGAATTCCGACTCTGTACGTCGTACTCTTTCCCTACAAACACGAACAACGCAGATCGAAGGAGATCGACGATTCCGCGATCTAACGAGTTAACTCGTCGATCCGGCGATCTGGCTGCAATTTCCGATCAAAGTTGCGATCTAACTCGACCATGTACCCACAGCGCGTAAGATCGTACGAATTAACGAGTTAACTCGCGATCTTGACAACCTTGGTTTTAAGGTTTGCTTTTCAAAACAAATCATTTCATAGTGCATGATTCATGGCTATGAGCTACAGCAAACCTAGTTATTAGAGATAAATTGAAGTGCATACCAGCCCATTTGCAGAATGCACGGGATTTACAGGGTTCATGCCATAAGCAGCAGGATAATAATTTCCAGCATAGCCCGAGGTCTCTGGATTAGCATAGTTTGTACCATAACCTGCTGCTGCTGCTGCAAACAAAACCACAGCAAGATAGTACTAATTAGTAATTATGTCATATTCGTTCAAGGCATCAAAACTTATGCATGCAATGAAACCCTATAATACTATTAAAAACAGATGTGGCATTGAAATTGACAGCAAGATAGTACTAATTAGTAATTATGTCATATTCGTTCAAGGCATCAAAACTTATGCATGCAATGAAACCCTATAATACTATTAAAAACAGATGTGGCATTGAAATTGACGGATATGAGTGTTTGTGTTCGCTTGTGCTTTTAAGGAGTGATTTGTTTTACATTTGAAATACTTAAATTTAAGCAGAAGCCACCGGTTTGAAACACTACTTTTAGCTTTCCAAAGCAAAAGGCAAAAACACACTGTTCATAAGCAATGGCAAACACTCACAATATACTACGCTACAAGATGGTTCATTCTTAAAGCCTTTTATTAAAGGCACTTCTGTTAAACATAAAGGCTATCAAATTATATTTCATAAAAGAAAATGAAGAATGCTGTCAAGAATTTATTTTCCAATTATTTTAAGTTATATATTATGCCAATATGAGTTTGACTAATAATTTTTGTGCCCACTTTAGTTCATTTTATGTTTTGAGATAAAAAAGCACAAAGCTATATATTTTATTAAAGATAGGGCTATAAAAAACCGAAATAGCAGTTTAAAGATTTTATTGATTAAATTTGTATTATTACAAACTTGGCAATGTCCTTATGTTAAGTTCTCAACCCACCCACGTGCTGCTTCGCCTATATAACTTAATTGCTGATAGGATCTCCTTGTTCTTAGCTCAAATAACAGAATTGAAATCGGAAGTAAAGAAGAAAATACTGCTTTCATTCAATTCAGGTAAACCGTACAAGAATTGTCCCAAAGAAGGAGATAGAACTCCAACTCCCAGTCCCAGACAATGAACTAACAAAAGCCTACCTTCCCTCTGCAGACTTATTCTATTTATAACCTTCACAAACGAAGGTAGTTATTAGTTACTAACAGCTCCTCTAACTAATAACTAACTAGTCTACTTTGACTTTCTAGAATAGACTTGCCCATAGAATCTATTTCTATTAGTTAGACTAGCCGGGTCCTTATCAATACCCCCTTCTTGAACTACCAACTTGTCCTCAAGTTGGAATTCAGGAAACTGCTCCTGTATGACTTGAATATCCTCCCATGAGTCTTCAAAATCAGGAAGTTCCTTCCAATGAATAAGGACCTCCTTCTTCCCTTCCTGATTTATCCTGATACCTTTCACACCCTCAAGTCTCACTTGCAGCTCACAATCTTCTGTGAGACAAACTGGGAGGTTTTGGTAAGTCACTGTAGGTTTCAATGCCTTCTTCAACAATGATATATGAAATACAGGGTGAATTCTACTCCCCTCTGGTAATTTGAGTTTGAAAGCTACAGGACTAATCTTCTCTGCAATGTCATAGGGCCCATAGAATCTTGGACTTAGCTTTTGATTGATCTTCTTAGCTAAACTTTTCATCTTATAGGGCTGTATTTTGAGAAACACTTTATCCCCTACTTCCAGTATCTCTTCCCTCCTGTGTTTATCAGCCTGTTGCTTTATCAAATTCTGAGCTCTGGCCAGATTGTCTTTCAGTTCTGTCAACATAATATTCCTTTCAGCTGTCATTTTGGCCACTTCATCTATGGCAGATAGGGCAACATCTCCTCTAATGATAGCAGGAGGATGTTGTCCAAATAAGGCATGATAGGGAGTCCCCTTTAGGGAAGAGTTGTAATTAGTGTTAAACCAGTATTCAGCCCAAGGAAGCCATTTCATCCACTGTCTAGGTTGTCTTCCACTCAAACACCTTAAATAAGTCTGTAGACATTTGTTCACCACTTCAGTTTGTCCATCACTTTGGGGATGATAAGCTGTGCTGTATTTAAGTTTTGTCCCTGCCATTTTAAAAAGCTCAGACCAAAAAGAACTCAGGAAAATGCTATCCCTGTCACTAACAATGGATTTGGGAAACCCATGTATCCTTACAATTTCCTGTACAAAAACTTCAGCTACTCCCTTAGCATTAAAAGGATGGGCCAAGGGTATAAAATGTGAAAATTTGGTCAGTCTGTCCACCACTACTAAAATAGTGTCCTTTCCCTGTGATTTTGGAAGACCTCCAATGAAATCCATACTAATATCAGACCACACCTGGTCTGGAATGGGTAAAGGCTGTAGCAACCCCGCAGGTTCCAATGCCTGGTACTTGTTTCTTTGGCAGATTTCACACCCTTGAATGTAGTCTTTAATGTCTGCTCTCATCCCTTCCCAGAAGAATAAATTTGTGATCCTCTTCATGGTTCTGAAATATCCAGAATGGCCACCTACTGCAGAGTCATGGTATTCCTTCATAATAACCTGAATTCTGTGGGATCCTTTAGGTATTACCAGCCTCCCTTTGTAGTATAAGAGCCCCCCTTTCATCTTGTAATCCATACACATACCAGGCTGTATCATTATCTTCTGAATCATCTCTCCCCATCTAGGATCCTTCTCCAGTTCTTCTCCCAAACCCTCCCATTCCTGGCAAGTAACTGTTGAAAGAGCTGTAAATGAGGCTTTTCTGGATAGGGCATCTGCAGCTTTGTTTTCAATCCCTGGTTTATACTTAATGATGAAGTTGTACCCCATAAGTTTAGCTATCCACTTTTGTTGGTCTTCTCCCATTACTTTATGTTCAGTCAAATGTTTCAAACTTTTCTGATCAGTATGAACCTCAAAGTTTCTTCCAAGAAGGTAAGGTCTCCATTTCTGAATGGCAAACACAATTGCCATAAGTTCTTTTTCATATATTGATTTAGTCAATTGTCTAGGTGATAGTTCCTTGCTCATGTAGGCAATAGGACCCCCTTCCTGCATAAGTACAGCACCCAGACCTCTTCCAGAAGCATCTGTCTCTATCACAAATAATTTTGAAAAATCAGGTACCCTCAAAACAGGTAATGAAGTCATGGCCTCCTTCAATTCATTGAATGCTTTAGTAGCTTCATCTCCCCATTTAAACCCATCCTTCTTGAGTAAAAGAGTCGGAGGTGCAGCAATCTTGCTATACCCTTTTACAAACCTTCTGTAGTACCCAGTCAACCCTAGGAAGCCCCTCAATTCCTTCAAATCTCTGGGTATGGTCCATTTCTTCATAGCTACAATTTTCTCAGGATCCGCTGCCACCCCTTTTGCAGATATTATATGTCCCAAATAACTCAGTTGATCCTTTCCAAATGAACACTTCTTGATATTTGCTACCAATTGGTTGTCTTGTAAAGCTCCCAGAACTTCTCTCAAGTGCTCTTTATGATCATCCTTAGTTTTACTGTAGACTAAGATGTCATCAAAGAACACTAAAGCACATTTTCTCAGAAAGGGTCTCAACACCTCATTCATAAGAGACTGGAAAGTTGAAGGTGCATTGGTCAGCCCAAAAGGCATCACTAGGTACTCATAATGCCCTTCATGAGTCCTAAAAGCTGTCTTATGAGTATCACTTGCCTTCATTCTGATCTGATGATATCCAGCTTTAAGATCTAGCTTAGAAAAGATTCTGGCACCACCTAACTCATCCAGCAGTTCCTCAATTACTGGAATTGGAAACTTATCAGGTATGGTCACCTTATTCAAAGCCCTATAATCTCCACAAAACCTCCAACCTCCATCTTTCTTTCTAGCTAAGAGTATGGGGCTACTATAAGGGCTATTACTGTTCTTGATGATTCCAGCCTTCAACATCTCAGCTATGATTTTCTCAATTTCATTCTTCTGATCAAAAGAATACCTGTATGGTCTGATATTGGGGATATCTGCTCCTTCTTTGATATTGATGGCATGATCACAATCTCTGGCAGGTGGAAATTTCAGGTTTGCAGTGAATACCTCTAGAAATTCTGTAATTAACCCTTCCCAATCTCCTCCATCACTGTTCTGTTCTTGAATTCCCTGTTGTCCCTCATAGTACAGCAAATAACCATCCCCCACCTGTTGAAGAATATGTGCCATAGTTTTCATGGAAATCTCCATCTGATTTGCTACATTGTTGCCTTTTATCAAACAAGTGGTACCCTGCTTCTTCCATTTGATTGTTTGCTGTTTAAAATTGACCTCCATATCTCCAAGTTCAGTCAACCATTCCATCCCCAAAACTAAATCAATTCCTCCCAATTCCAAGACATAGAAGGTTTGAAGAATTTCTACTCCTTGTACATTGATATCCACTTCATTACATTGGCCCAGATTAGGAATATGATCCCCATTTCCTATTTGCACCTTATATCCTTTGATTGGATTATAAGGAATATTCCACCTTTCTGCCAGCCCCTTGGACATGAAATTATGAGTTGCCCCACTGTCAATAAGGATAGTTACTTCTTTCTCTTCTCCCTGCCACTTCAACTTCCCTCTTACTTTGAAAGTTTTCATGGAAGAAATGCCCTCTCTGCTCAAAATGGACAGCTGCATGTTGTTCATATCCATCTGATTTGCAGTATTGTTCTGGCCCCCTTCTAAATCTTCATATTCCACTTCAGAATTTTCCTCTCCTTCGGAATTTTCCACTAGGATCATCTTGTAATTCTTCATTTTGCACACATGTCCTCTTCCCCAAGTCTCCCCACATTTGAAACACAGGCCCTTTTTACTCCTCTCCAGTAATTCCTCTTGGGATAGTCTAGGTCCCTGTCTCCTCATCATCTGTTCCTTCACATCATGGTTGCCTTTGTTATCAACTGTCACCTTAGGAAAATTTCCCAGGTGGTTGGAGGTTCCTGGATGACTTCTCCACTTGTTACTGTCATTCCAATTCTGTCCTGCAGATTGATTGCTAACTCTGTTCTGATTCTTCCTCTTACTTTCCTCCTTATTCTTCATAAAAACAGCTTCGAGGTTCTTATTCTCAATCAAAGAAACTGTATCCATAATTTCAGCTAACGTCCGAGTAGTGTACAACTTCAACTCTGCTCTTATATCCCTCCTGAGTCCCTTAAGGAATACTCCCTTTAACACTTCTTCAGATAGATGTTCCTGAGAGGAAATGGCTGTTTCAAATAAGTTTCTATACTCAGCGATAGAACCTTTCTGCTTCAGACTGAATAGAGGTCCCAAAGGATCTTGCACGACTTCCGGTTGAAATCTCTTGATCAATGCCTTAGTAAAAGGCGTTCCAATTCAAGTGTATGGCTTGCCTCTCCCACCATTGGAACCAGCTAAGTGCTTGATCTTCCAATGCGATAACTGCCACATCCAACTTCTCCTCTTCCGCAGTTCTATTTAACCGGAAATACCGGTTCATCCTCAGCATCCAACCACAGACATCCTTCCCGTTGAAAACAGGTAGATCAATCTTCCTCCCCATTCTCGGACTATTTCTCTGATTCCGCCTATGCTCGAAATCAGTTCGCGAATCTGTGTGATTCGATTGATTGTCTGAGTCGCCAGAAGAGTCTTCATTCCTCACTTGCCGGTGCGGTGCTGCTCGATGTGCATTATTCGATCTCTGCGAATTGCTCCTTGATCGTCGATTGATCTGAACCTGTATATCTGCTAAGCTAGCTTGTATCGCCGCTTGCATCGTCGCCAGATTATCCACACTCGCCTGCATCTCTCGCTGACTTCGTTCCACATCGTTAATTCTCCCTTCCATCTTGGCGCGCGTATTTCTCATCCAGCGATCGAATCGCTCTGATACCAATGATAGGATCTCCTTGTTCTTAGCTCAAATAACAGAATTGAAATCGGAAGTAAAGAAGAAAATACTGCTTTCATTCAATTCAGGTAAACCGTACAAGAATTGTCCCAAAGAAGGAGATAGAACTCCAACTCCCAGTCCCAGACAATGAACTAACAAAAGCCTACCTTCCCTCTGCAGACTTATTCTATTTATAACCTTCACAAACGAAGGTAGTTATTAGTTACTAACAGCTCCTCTAACTAATAACTAACTAGTCTACTTTGACTTTCTAGAATAGACTTGCCCATAGAATCTATTTCTATTAGTTAGACTAGCCGGGTCCTTATCAATTGCTCCCCTCACTTAAGGTGAAAGCTAGAAAAAGAGTTCTGAGTTTGTATTGTGGAAAAGCCAATTTAATGTTGCAAGCCACGGATGAGAATGATTTTAAGGCAATTTGAGTAGAGTTGTGGCTGAGATGGAAACAGGAATTCACAGAAACATTGGTGTCTCTTGACAAACTTAGCAGCAAGTCGTGCAAGAAAAGAAGTTCCAGTCAACTGTGACACGAGAGATTCTGGAACAAAAGCTGCAATTAAAAAAGGCTATCTAGGTGCTTATTAGGTCATTAGCTTGTTAGAACACTGGTAATGAATTGTAGAGAATCAGTAAGAAATTGATCAAGAAAGAGATCAAGAAAGTGTTTATTGATGAAAGATGCGTTTACACAAGGAATACAATGGACCATTCGAGATGCCCAATCTCCTAGTCTAGCCAAATCCAACTGAATACTTGCCTACCTTCTCCTTTTCCCCTTCCTTACTCTTTATAGTACTTCTATTTCTTTAAGGGCTGGCCCATTATTCCTGATTTACTAAATGGCCCAGAATCTTCACTTATACACTATTACACTCTTTAATACTATTCTAATATTCTTATTAATATTATTGTCTATGTTCCTATCAATACTCCCCCTCCCCTAAACAACCACCTTGTCCTCAAGGTGGGTGATAGGGAACAACCATGATCTTCCACTTCAACTTCATTCTTGCACCTCTCCCCTCCCAATACTTGACTGGTTTATGGACTTTTAGCTTCGGTACGAATCTTCTTCCATATGTACTTCACAGCAGGAAGAAACAGAAGCAAGGACATGGTGGCACAATGCTCCTTATTGTTGTAAAGGTTATAATATCCCAACATCAGCATCTTTCCTTGTAACCTTGGCTTTTCTTCCAACATATTTTCCAGGAACTTGATTCTTTCGGATTCTGCATGATTCTTAAAATTGTCAACAGCACCAATCTCTTTTATTTCATCAACCTTTTCTTCAACACTGCTACCAAGAGCAAAATTATCATCCCCTTTCAGTCCCATATCTGAGTAGTCCAAGGATAGAAGCATGACAATCTTGTGTTCATTAGCATCCCTTATGTTCTTTCGAACTGAATGTCCAACGTAGGCCAAATTTTCATCCCCGTACCATCTGTCTTTCTCAGAAAGTACTCCTAAAGAATTCCTGACTTTACATCTATATCTTCCAGGAATGATTTTGGTGAACAAAAATTCACTGCTCTCATTTGTTACATGATTTAGTTTCCTATTGTACTTGCTTTTTCCATCCATATGTACGAGAGTAAGAGAAGCAAAAGAACTAGGAAATTTTCCTATCATCCCTGCAACAGAACGTATTTCAGGAATATAAACCTGAACAACAGATGATTGTTCATAGCGTTCATTTTCACTTTCGTTGAGCTTAGATATATTTTCGTCAAGTTGCGTCGAATTCATTTCGTCAGATGGAAGTGGCCGTCAACTCACATCATCCGGAGGATGCGATGTAGCCGATTGCGAACTGCGAGGGGCTAGTTTACTTCAGTCAAGATTTAATTTTAATTAGACATGTTATAGTTAGGTTCATACAGTTTGATTATATTTTTTTTATTAAAGTTGATTATCAATTATTTAGTTATTTATTGTGAGTAGTTTACATAAATTCTTGTAAAAAAATCATTTTATTCATAGGAGTGGGCTGATTACTCACGATGGTTAAACCCAGTAAGAATCAGGGAGAGGGGTCTAGCTCAAATAAGGATAAGGATCCTGCTTGGCAGTATGGAATTAAAATAAATCCTCCGGCAGGAAAGACCGATTATGTATATGCAAAATGCAAATATTGCAATAAGATGATCACCCGTGGAGTGGGGAGACTTAAAGAGCACCTTGCGGGAACACATAAAAATGTGGCGCCATGCAAAAGTGTTCCCGAAAATGTTAAAAAGGATGTGCTAGCAATGTTGACGAACTATCAAGATCAGAAACACGTTAACCAGAAGTTTTTTGATGAAATGGTAGATTCTGGCTCGTACATTGGTACCGGAGTAACTGGACCTCAACCGCGTGGGCCTATTGATCGCTTCGTTACTCGTCCAGGCAGTAGCTCAGGACATGTAGCAAATGAGCAGGAAGTTGTAGAAGATGATATTCTGCCTAACAAAAAGAGTAAAACTACCATGAGAGAGCGACACAATCTTGTTTGTCAAGATGTGGGCAGATTTTTCTTTGAAAATGCAATAGCATTTAATGTAGCCCGCAGTCCTTCTTATTTTAACATGTTGCGTTCTGTTAGTAATTATGGTGCAGGCTTTAAACCCCCCATCTATGCATGAGTTGCGGACGTGGATCCTTAAAGCGGAATATGATACCACGAACACATATGTGGAAGAAGTGAAGAAGACATGGCCGCACACCGGAGTTACGATAATGTCAATGGGTGGAGCGACGCAAGAAACCGAGGGCTTCTTAACATACTTGTTAACCAATATGGTAATGTTTTCCTTAGATCTATTGATGCATCAGATCGAGTTAAAGATGCAACTTATCTTTTTGAATTGCTCTACGGAGTAGTTGAGGAAATAGGAGAAAGTCTGGTAGTGCAAATCGTGACAGATAATGCAAATGCATACAAAGCTACTGGGAGACTTTTAATGGAGAAGAGGAAGTACTTGTATTGGACGCCATGTGTCACCCATTGTATTGACCTCATGCTTGAAAAGATTGGAGAGCTGACACCAGTGTTGTCAAAAGCGCTCGCTTCTGCGCTTAAGCGCACAAAGCGCAGCGAGGTAGACCCCTAGCGCCTGAGTAAGGTAGAAGCGCACAACCCTGGGCAAGGCGCAGCATAAGCGCTAGAAGCGCACGAAGCGCGGAAGCGCTATAGGCGCGCGCCTGCGTCGCCTGAAACGGAAAAGGCTGACAGCCCTTTTTTAGTTTAAAACTTTGAAAAAAAAGCCCATATCTTAATATTCCTCAGCCCATGAAAACAATAGGTTAAAGTAAGTTTAACCTACGTAAAACTAAGCTTAATAGTACGTAAAAACGTAAACTTGCGCAAGACACTACAAAGCTTAACCGCTAGCCATCCTCTTCACTCTCCTCGCTTTCCTCACTCCGTCACTCTATACTCAAGCTGCTCTACACCAGCCGGTTCTTTCAGCTTCATCATCCCAAGCATACGCAGCTCTCCATTGTAGCAGTAAACAAGGTATATCTTCTTTTTCATGCAGTCTCATGCCTTTTCAATTACCTTCATTTACTGTCTTCTTTATCCATAGACTCATAGTACTCTGCTTTTTTATTTTTTAGTATATTACTATGTATATAATACTCATACTGTCATAGTACTCTGCTTTGTAATATACATATATAGTACTCTACATTGTATATAATACTAATATACGTACTAAAGTTATATGTTCTTATATGTTCTTAACTTTATATATCAAACTGATTCCATAAAGTTTATGTATCACTGTATCAGTTAACCAACTGATTATATATGTACTAAAGATATATATCTTAACTTTATATGTACTAAAGATATATGTACATATTAAAGTTATATGTGCTAATGTACTAAAGAGTAAAGATGTATGTTCTTAACTTTATATATCAAACTGATTCCATATAGTAACTTTATGTATCAATTAACAAACTGATTCCATTATATATGTACTAACTACTAAAGATATATGTACTGATTCCATCTTTGATCTTTTCTAGGATATGGAAGGTGGAACAAGTTCTGTGGGTGGTGCTGAAAGTGAAAACTCTACAAAAAATGACCCAGCTTGGAAACACAACTACTTAGATGAAACACAACTAATTAGTTAACACAACTACCTAGCTTTTTTGATGCATTTGGTTCAATATGATGTTACATACATCATATTTGGTATTTATAGAAATAGTATATGTGACTTTATATAAGTAATGCGCTTCACCCGAGTCAAGCGAGCGCTTTTTTGCGCTTTGCGCCTCAAGCGCTGGAAGACTCCTAGCGCTTCAGGTGCGCCTTACGCCTTTGACAACCTTGGCTGACACAGAATAAAAATGTGTTGATCAAAGCTAAGAAGGTCACTAATTTTATCTATAATCGTGGATGGGTTTTGCAGCTGATGAGGAAGTATATCGGGAAAGACCTAGTTCCTCCAGGCCCCACGAGGTTAGCTACTGTGTTCTTGACTTTAGATTGCATGGTCACCGTAAAAGATCCCCTGCAAGTCATTATGCAAGTTTAGTTGAGGGGAAGGAGGTTAAAAAGATTGTGATGGATGACAGAACTTTTTGGCCTGGAGTTGCTTACTCAATAAAAACAACAAGGCCATTAGTTGAAGTGTTGAGGATTGTTGATGGTGATGAGCCTGCAATGGGATTCATCTACGGTGCTATGGATTCAGCAAAAGAAAAAATCGAAGAGAATTTGGGAAATCAATATTCCACTTATAGTGAGATTTAGAAGATAATTGATGAGAAGTGGGAGCACCAACTGTATCGAGACTTGCATGTACGCTTGTCTACTCATGTGGAGGTTAAGAGAGGTTTGTACGCTTGTATGGAGAGGCTTATTTCTGATAGTAGTGATTTTAACAAAGCTGATGCACAAATGGATGAATATCGATACAAGCGTGGACTTTTCAGAATGAGGGCGGCTCAAAATTCATATAAAACACGTCCCCCGTGTAAACATTAAACTATATCTTTAATATCTTTAATGTTTATAAATAATGTACTTGTGTATTGTTGTAAAACTACATTTTTTTTTAATTCTTTAACATTTTTTTAGTGGAATGGTGGGATCAATTTGGAGATCATATTCCACAACTACGGGCTTTTGCGGTCAAAATTCTTGGCTTGACGTGTTCTTCCTCAGCTTGTGAACGAAATTGGAGCACATTCAATCAAGTCCATACGAAGAGAAGCAATCGTCTTTCAGCCATTAAGTTGAATAGTTTGGTATTTATAATGTTCAACAAGAAGTTGAAGTTTAGGAAGAGCCGATTGCAAAAGAAAGAGGATAATTTGATCTTCGAAAATGTATCGTCTGATGATGAGTGGATTGCTGAACCGAATGCATATGATGGAGAAAGTGCGGATGCACGTGATGAACTTGCATTAGTTGTTGATGAAATGGACAACGAATTCAGAGGTTCATAACTAAATATTTTATTTTTTTGTCACTTCAATGTAATTATTTACACTTAACTTCCATCCTGTTTCATTCTATTTTTGTGAATTTATGTGTGTAGGGGTGGACCTTACGGTTGGAAATGAAGAAGATAATGAGGCCCATGATAATGAAGGAGATGACAATGAGAATGACATTACTAATTTGGATCCTGATGAAGAGGACAATAGGCTTAGTTTCGAAGATTAATAGTTGCAATTTGTCAATTTGCAAACTTAAATTCCTAAACTTTTATGTTCTTGTCTTAGAATTTTAATGTTTTATGTTCTTTTGAGTTTTGACTTTGGTATTTCAGTTTTATATTATTTTCACTTGAATATTTTATAGTTATGTTATTTTTACTTGTGATTTTGTTTAGCTACGTAATTGTTATGAATTATCTATACTTTCTAATATGTCATAGGCTTGTAGCAACACGTAAGCAATTAAATTTCGGGGCTTACGCCTCGTTACGCCTCGGAAGGCTACCGCCGAACGCCTCGAGGCCTGATTTCGCCTTTCAAAACCTTGGATGAAAGATGCGTTTACAGAAGGAATACAATGGATCATTCGAGATGCCCAATCTCCTAGTCTAGCCAAATCCAACTGAATACTTGCCTACCTTCTCCTTTTCCCCTTCCTTACTCTTTATAGTACTTCTATTTCTTTAAGGGCTGGCCCATTATTCCTGATTTATTAAATGGCCCAGAATCTTCACTTATATACTATTACACTCTTTAAAACTATTCTAATATTCTTATTAGTATTATTGTCTATGTTCCTATCATAGCTGCATCTGGAAAAAGGAGCAATAGGGCTTTAGGAGGCTAAATGGTCACTGCACAGCCAGAAAATAGGGTGTGTGCAGCACTGCACTGACTAAATAATGGGTAAAGCCAGAGAAGACTGAGGCGGTCAGAAAGTGGGAAAGAAATGGTGTGAACGGAACGGCTGTTTTGCCGATGATAAATGGAATTTATTGCTACAGAAAATTCAAGAACATGTGTGCACAAGGGGTCAAGGCCTGCTGCAAACCACAGACTTAAAGTGATTTGAATCGCTGCTCAAACCATAATAGAGCAGAGGCCAGAAAATGAAATGAATACCCCACTTGGGCAGTCCCTTGCATATTACAATTTCAATACTAATTTTATAATTTTGATTTTCTTTGCAAACTGTTTCTTTTGTTCTTGGTGATGTGTGCTGGGCCGATGCACTAGTGATGCCTTGCAGTCACTTGACAGCACAGACAACAAACTATCTTAATGGGCTCTCCACCTAAAAAAGTTGAGTTAATATTGTGTAGACCATTGGTCACATATCTGATACGAACAGATACTACAATTGATCTTACCAAAAGACCGGAAAGGGTATTTACTTTGCATTGACTTCTAATAATGAGTGGTTAGACACTTGGACCTTTAATAGTTAAAATACACTTCCAAGACACTCACCCTTATCCACTTTTTCTAGTTATTTATTGGTCAACCAACTCCACTTTCCTTGACATTATTGTTTAACATGAAAAATTATGAGTTTTGTTGACTGAGCTTAATACTTTAGTTATACTTTTGAATATTTAAAATTTAATTACTAAAACTAAATGTTATTTAATAATACTAAATATAATATTCATAAATTAAATTCGAAAGCTTTGGAATTGCTTCATTACAAGCATTACAAGTACAGCATCCAAAATAGGGCAGAAGGATTAAAGCTCTATGGTTTGATTTGTAGGCTTTTGTGCCTAACTATTTATGTCAAGTGTCAACACTTTGTAGTGCTTGACTTCTATCAATTAATTTGCCAAAGATTTGTGAGTTCATTTGATTTGGATGCATAGTTTACTGTTTGATTTTGAGATTGAGGGACTATTGCAACATAAATCTTTTGTCTATTGCCATTTTATTTGAGAAGAACTAGGTGCTTACCAATCATATCATATAGAAAAAATGGATATAGTGTTTGCGCGTCTGATTTGTGTCGGCTAAGAATTCACAAAGCTTAATGTAGTATTAAAAATCTCAAATGTTGGTTATATAGATAGGCAGGCAACACTAGGACTTCAATTAGGATTAATTGGAGGAACTTTTTACTTTAAAGTAAGTTGTTTGCGTTTGGATAATTAAGCATCCATGCATAAACTACGCCTACTATTGTTATGAACAAGTACATTCTGTGTCAATGACCAAGTAAAAACTATATAAGCTAATGCTTGGGATTGGAAAGACCCATTTATATCAGTTATATCAAGCTAAACTTGCATGTTAAATTACTTATGAATTTAGTTAGTGTCATTATGTCAAGTCTCTAGTTTTATTGATTTATTATCCTTTAGTCATTTCATACAAAACACTTGAACACCATACCTTTATTTCGTTGAAAGCTGTCTGAGTAGTAGTAAACTCAAAACTCCCTTGGGAGTATAGTAGTTGTATAGGTGTTAGTGTAACAGTAGCATTCACAGAATAACAACAAAATGAAACAAACTAGAATAGCAAGGTATTCAAGAAAATGCCAAATGATAACATATTTCTTAAAAAAGGATCACATTTGTTTTTCTCCAAATAGGACCTATTTACTCCTAAAAGAAGTTTAAATTGTTTTCATTCTTTTATTATGACTAAATAAGTCATATTTTGGGAATAAAACATAATTAGTTCAATTTGTAAACTTTGGTCAGGGTAACTTCTTACTAAAGAACTACCGTAACTCCTACAATCGATGCCAATATCTTCATGTAGGCAACGCGGACATAATAAATACCTTGATTTGCAGCAGCAGCAGCTGCTGCAGCGCGAGCTTTCTTTTCTGCATTTGCCATCTCAGCACGTAGCTTTTCCAGTTCTCGAGACATTGAGAGGAAGTTCTTCTGCATAAGTTGACCATGTTCATAGTTTGCCGCATATCCCTTCTTCTCATTCTCAATGGCAGCTCTACAGAATAATCAAAGTATAAATGATCAACAAAACACAAGGCATGTGACACAGAGTAAGAGACGCATTTAGAATGTACCTTGATCGCTGCAATTCCTGTCTAAGATTTTCAATTTCTGCTTTTATAGCTGGAGTTTTTTGCAAATCTTCATTCATCCTAGTCAGATCCTGCGTCATCCCCTGTATCTCAGTTGTAAGAGCTTGTTTTTCACCATTTAACCCTTTAATATCAGCACGAACTCGCATAAGCTCAACCCTCATAACTTCAACAGCTTGCAGATCCATTTCCATCTTTGCGGACTTTTCATGAAGTTCTCTTATCTGCATTCCGGTTTCGTCGTACAAGGCGCGGGCATATTGATCGGTGCGGTGAAGGTCAAATTGTGTAACTTCTAATTCCTCTTTGAGTGCTACATGAGTTGCAGAAAACCTCTGATTATCAAGCAGAAATCGTTGAATCTCCGCATGCTGGGCTGCAAGATGATCCTCAAGGATAGCAGGGTGCGGAGGGATTTGTCTGGGAGGCATTCCGTACTGTGATTCTCTCATTTTGAGGTGCCTGCAGGAAGTGGCTCGTCGAACAGACTTGCAGCTCAAGCCGGCAGATGTGAATCCAGCGATGATGGGCTGTGCTTTCAAGCAAACGTTTATCAAGATAATAACCTAGTTTACAAATTAGAGCTAGCCTCTCTTCCCATAAGGAATAAAAGGTTTACTTTTAAAGAGTGGTAAAAATGTAAAATGTCTTAAAAAACTTATACTCCATAGCTTATTTGATGGTAGGGATTGACAATTCGTTTGGTTTTACTGTTTGGTCTTCTTCGGTTTTGTTTTGGTTTCGGTTTATTCGGTTTGGGAAAATTAGTACCAAACTAAAACCATTGAGTTTCGGTTCGATTGAAATTCGGTTTATCACAGTGAAAATTATTAGATTCAATTTAGTTCGATTTGATTCGGTTTCTTATGCTTATTATTTTATTTGATCAAGTTCTATATTTTAGAATTAGAAAACGAAAGTATTAGTACATCTCATATTCTTGTATTTATTATTTAAATAAAAAATAGAAAAATAAATAATAAAATATAAGAAATTAACACCTAATTATCTTATTTAAAGTAACTCATTAAAACTTCTAACATTTTTCGATCATTAGAAAAAGATTCACTTCTCACAAAAAATTATAGTTGATTAACATTTATAATACTACATATCACATAAAATATTTAACGAAAACTAAATGAGTTAGAGGTAAAAATGTTGTAATATTCACAATTTTATTCAAATGAATCATGTAAAAAAATATAAATGCAATATACTATTTTTATCACCAAACTTCTTTTTCTACAGGTAGAGTACAAAACATAACAAATACAAATATGTTTTATTTGTAAGATATGCATAATTCTTACATTATTAGCTAACTTTGTCATAATGAATGTAGAAAATGTGTAAAAAAAGTTAAAATGATATATGCTAAACATGTATTTTGCGTGTCTAAATTATTTATTTATATCCTAAAGATGAAGAGTGAATATAAATACAATATATGTCACGCCTCGAACCTATCCGGACACGTCAACAACTCGCCGTACAATACAAATAGTCAACCACAGTCAAACACATCCATATTATACAAGGCGTCTCGAACATCATTCACACATAAGTCATCCATAAACAAACATAATAAGCAATTCAATACGCAGCGGAAAACATAGTTTAAAACAAATGCCACATAGGGCGAATCATGAGCACGCAGGCTCTATAGTAAAACATTCATGAGCAAATTTATTATTGTTAAAAACAGAATGGAAGAAGCACGAACCAAGTCTTCTCTCCGGAGCAATCACTCGAGCAACGAGCACAGGAAGCAAGCTTTAGCCTCATCCTGAAATTGTGGTGGGACGTCCCCGAAGGGGTCAATACTCTATAGGGTTATAAAGTAATGGCGTGGATGACATCTAATAAATATACAACAAGTATTTCAAACACAAGACCCTCAAATAGGGTGATAGTATAATATGTGTCGTAACCCCAAGTTACCCCGTTAGAAAGTATACTTACTTTATATAAAGTCAAGTAGTCGGCCTGTAGGCCCATGTTCATTTTGAAACCACCATTTCCATTCCCCATGACTAAAAGTCATGACAACGCATAGAGTCCAACCCTAATATATTTCACTGCATTCTAGAGTTTGGCTCTATTGCATCATCATGCCCTAAAAGTCCAATTTCTAAGCAAAACCTATGCCTAGAAATGACCTATCAATAAACTACCTTGGGTCATCCTCAAAGACTGCCCATAACTTGATCTTAGCTTCATACAACATCATTCTAGACACTTGAATTATATTCAAGTGCATTACATACAATCAAAACCTTAGGATCAATTCTATTAACGGTTATCAATAATCATTAACTGGTATCGCAGTACTATTAAGATTATTCTTATTCAATCAAATATTCCTATTTGTAATTCCCTACATATTTAGAGATATGTGGCAGCAACTTAAGTATCAAGTTTCAATACATAAATATTCATTTATGTGTCTACACAATTCATACATGAGTAGAAATGTCTATTTCACATAATAGTTCATTAATAGCTCATTTAACTCTATATTTTCAACATAGTCTCAAATCATTGTCAAATTCATTTCTCGTCAATTTTATCAATAGTTAAGCATCATAATCCATGAAAACATCATTTAGACATTTAGGTAATCTCATGCTCAACCTACAAGTTGTAAGCAAGTAGATGTTGATCCTCACCTCAAATGAGCTTTAAACTTTTCCTTCTTGATCCAATGCTCAAGGCTTCGGTCAAGGAAGTTTGAGAACTGATTCCTTGATTAGAAATGAATGTTAGACAGCCTCCTCAAGGTGATATCTCAACTCCTAACCGATGATCCGAAATAACCCCTAGAATGGATGTTTTCCGGCGAATTCGTTTACCAACTTCAAAGAGGCAAATTCGTTTCTGCGAGTTTGTGTTTTCTTTCTATTATTTGGAGGTCTTCCACTACTCCATTTTCTGCAAACCGCAACTTCACGGATTCCTTATCTTGAGAGCTTTCTGTAGACACCTTACACACACTTTTGGGATGAGTGTAGCTCGAGATGTGAATCAAACAAGCAACCGTACGCACTGGAAAAATAACCACGCGGGCAGTTTTTCTTCTTTCTTTCTCTCTTGAGTTGTGTGGCTCCTTTTTCCTCTATTATATTTGGGGGTTCGTATGGGGGGTTTGTGGGAGTGTCTAAGAGCTCTCAATCATGATAGCAAAACATGTGGTTTACAAGAGAGTATGGAAGATATTTGGTTTGAAATCAAATATGGGGTGGGCCTCCCATTTTTGTTTTTCTTTTGAAGTTTTTGAGCAAACGAGCAAATATGTCCGCTCCATGTAGTCATCTCACCCATGTTTCTTTGTCTTGCAGGTACTCAAGTCATGTGCAATGGTTCTCAAATGATCCCAATCAATTTTGGGTCCAGAATATCTACCAATACTTCCAAAAATGAAAAAATGGGTTCTATTGTTTTATCTTTTGTCATGAGATGTCTTTTCGTACTAATTCTAATTTATTTAGAACAAGATAACTACCTACATCATATTATTGGTCTCTAATATGTGTAGGACGATCTTAATAATTTATATGATGTATAATTTGGAGGAAAACCCATATTCCCATTATTTAGCCCAATAATGCCAAAGATGGGACTATAGGAGTTTGTATTCTTCTATAATCATCCTTTCCCTTATTTGTGACCTTTGCATTTTCATTATTGGGATACAAGCCATGTGGGTTATCCTCAAATGGGCCTAAGACGACATTCTTCGAATACTTACTAATTTTAGCTGGTAGGGCCCAAAATAACATTTGGGTTACCCGACTTTCCTTATTTGTATCCAAGGGTTATGTATCTCTATTTACATCGTGTTGGGCTCTTATATCTAATAAGATAGCCCAATTAAGTATTTGAAATCCCCTCAATATTATACGAGTCCAAACAACAGTATGATCAACCATGCACTACGTAAACATTAACCGTTTTACAATTGTTCGATAATAGTGAAATCGATACATAAACTTTTGAATTTAAATTGAACTTCAAGGACATTCAGGTGCGGTGTCACAATATATATATATATATATGTGTGTGTGTGTGTGTGTTTGTAGAGAGAGAGAGAAGTGCTCTTGTCCAGCACTTTTCTGTCCGAACGCCGTCCGAACACCGCCGTCTGGGGCGGTTCCCGGTCGATTTTTTTGAGAGGAAAGGGTCAATAAAGTACACCAACTTGTACGATATGGAGTAAAGAGTACACTATATTGCATTTGATCCTTTTAAGTACATAAATTCAGGATTTTAGTGTTAATTGAGTACATTTGTTAGATTAACACGTTAATACAGCGGAGTTGGCTAACAGAATGTCGAGTAAGAAGGGGTAATGGAACAATATTATGGTGTCGACCTTCACGAGGTCGACAAAAACGGAAAAATCGACCTTCGGAGGTCGACCTGTGGGGGCGTCAGCCAACAGGGGTGCATTGACCAAGGAGAAGTCGACCTGCGGGGGACTGACGTCGACCAAGGGGAGGTTGATCAAGTGACTGGGGGCTGGCGTTGACCTTCAAAAAGTCGACCTACTAGCATTCTGTTAGTCAACGCAGTCGTATTAACGTGTTAATCTAACGAGTGTACTCAATTAACACTAAAAACTCGAATTCGTGTACTTAAAAAAATCAAATGCAATATAGTGTTCTCTTTACTCTACCTCATACAAGTTGATGTACTCAGGGGCGGATGGTGCCTTGGCCAGGGGTGGGCTTCAGCCCAGCCCAATTTTTTTTTTAATAGGATTGGTTTATTTTTTGTTCTCAGCCCACCCTAAATTTAAATGTCAGCCCACCCCACAAATAATTCCCAGCCCAGCCCAGAAAAATCAGCCCACCTCTGCCTAAATGCCTAAGCCCTCTTACCGTCGGTCTCCCAGCCTGCGGATTGCGGAAGACGGAAGTCGAACGAAGTAACGAACTGGCCATTGGGATTTGGGCGAACTGGCGAAGGGCGAACTCCGGCGAACTGGCGAAGGCAGCACTGCAGCAGCCAGCAGCGACTCAGCGACGCCAGCGAGCAGCGACCGAGCGACACCCGGCAGCCGCCTCTTCCTCTGCCCGATCGGAGACCGCGAAGGCGCGGACCGCCTCTTCCTCAGCCCGACCGCGGACCGCCTCTTCCTCTGCCCGACTGCCCGACCAGGTAAATCCTCTGACCTCTTTGTTGTTTTCAGAATTTCAGGGATGAAGTGTTGAATTTTTATTGTGAATCAGTGAAGTTATGAACTTCTGCTGTGAATCTGTGAACTTTGAATGAGTGAATCTGTGAATTGTGCATTTTAGGTTGAACAATACTAGTAATTTTAGAATTTAGAGTGAATATGTGAATTGTGCATTTTAGAGTGAATGAGTGAATCTGTTAAATATTTTTTATATAAGTTTTTTAATTTATACCAATATTGAAAATGTTTTTTTAGAATGGATAATGAACATGTTGCCAAGAGGGGAAAGAAGTTGATTTCATCATTCTTTTCAAAAGTGAATCGTCAAACCGGTGAAGGAAGTTCTGA